AGAAGAAATTGTGGAATCTCCATCCTTGGAAATTTTCAAGAGCAGGTTGGACAGACGCTTGGCTGGAATTGTTTCTTTGGGATGATCCAGCCTTGAGCAGGGGGCTAAACAGAAAGATCTCACAGGCCACGTCCAGATGTGTGTAGAAGTTTGGTTCCCTGGGGACAACTAGCAGTGGTGCACCTTGAGTTGCTGCTAGTTGTCCCCAGGGAATGCCTGTGCCATGCGTGCTCTGGCACATGGCCAGTTACCCCAGATGGGGTATGGGAGGCTGAGGCTAGCACTGGGCTAGCCTGGAGGCCTCCTGAGGCTCCAGCAGCGGTGATCCTGCTGCACGGAGCCTGGCCAGCAGCAGAGTACGGCTCCAGCCAGCCAGGCTCCGGCTTTGGGCAGCACATACTGCTGCCACATGCACAATGCTGATTTTTTTTCTCCATGGGTTGTTTTTTTTTTTGACCACTGGATATGGAGGGGTCAGAAAACCGCTCCATGCTTCTCCTTTGCAGCATGGAGAACAATGGAACATGCCACACAGCCGTGCTCATCTGAATGCGGCCATGAGGTCCTTTCCAATCCTACTTTCCTATGATCCTATGAACATGCAGCACTTGGGTTTCTTTCATCCTTATCAATCCAGTTTTAGCTCTGGATATGATATAAGAATTTCCCGGCACTTGTTGACTGACCTGTTTCTAGCGATGACCAGATAAATACAGATATCCTGGATGTTTCTTTTAGATCTTGGAATAACCATTGAGATTATTGACCAAGAAACTTTCAGTCACTTGAAGGAAGACCAAGTGGCAGCAGCTGGCTGGCACAAAAATCTGAGCATGAAACTTGCTCACACATCCCCTTTCTCTTGCAGGAGTTTCTCGTATGAGATTGCATAGGACTATAGCAGTGCCTGATATAGGTTTAAGCTACTTAAACTACAGTTCAGGGGCTCATAATATGAGGGGCCTCTAAATAAGAAACAAAAAACTGACTCAATATCAAGTTTTATAATAATCAGTTGGCAAATAAAGGAGATGTGGGTAAATGACTCTCTTAATATGGACATTTTCATTCTAATACGACAAAAATACACATACATTGGATTATTTTTATCATATGGGGCCTCTTAAACTGGACATAGTTTAGGGCCTTAGCATGTCATACTCCAGCACGGGACTGCAGTCTGTTACCATCGCGTATTCTATGTATCGTGTGCAAGGCACTGAAGGAAGTACTCGGGTAGTTTTGGCCTGCAGTGTTACCAGTTTCATGTTTTTCCTTCATCAGATCCTAATGGATTTGTCCCTGCCTGATCCCTGAATAAAACAGGGACTTAAATGAGACTAAACTGGTTGAGGCTTAATCCGAAAAACACAGAGATGTTGGTTAAAAGAAAGATAGCAAAGATGCTATCTAGCCAACCTACATGCCAGCCCACACCAATGAGCTTTACACTGCAGGGTATTTCTGAGTCCCGCATTGCTTCTAAAGTCTCAGGATGATTTGGCGACAAGATTTTTTTTTTCCATTTTCATTTGGTATAACAGTTGTGGCTTTCTTTCTGAGATGAAAGGCAGATATCTTTACTGAGCTTCTCACTTCCTGCAATGTACTCTTGCAACGTATTCAGAAAACAGACTTGAAAGTCATTCAACAGCCAGCACTGAAGTAGAACGCTACACATCAACTTGGTTAGCAGGACTGACCACGAGGACCATAGCGATCTAGTGCTCCAGTGACGGCACTGGCCTACGTGCTGTGATATTCATTACAATGAACCCATCAGCGACAAGGAATAAAAGTGCAACATGTAGTGTGCACAAGAACATAGAGAGGATGAGGGGAAATCTTTCCACATTAGAACTGAAGCTTAAGCTTGTATTTTTATTCTTGATATATATGTAACAACCTTAGTCTAAGCTGGATGCAAGCCAGGTTGCAAGAAGTGCCTCTTGGAGATCTCAAGAGGGAATTTCATAGATTCTCTTTATACTGATGACCCAAACTAGGTGGAAAAATGCACATGCCTTTGAAAACACAGTGAGCAATTGAGTCAAGAATTTGATTCCTGCATACCTGATGTGCAATTTGAGCCATAGCTATGAAACTAGTATCTCCAAATGCAATAAGGACGACTTCTAAAAAAAAATGCTGGTTCATTTATAACACTCCTAAATCTGTAGTTAACAAGTCTTTCCAGGGGAGTGAAATATTTATCAAGAAAGTTAACTCTGCATTGCAAACATTTCAGATTCTGTAATGTGAGCCTGATTTTTGTTGCTGTTACTTTGTCCTATGGCTTCCATCACCATAATGTCTAGGCACCTCACATTTTTAGTGAATTTGTCATCATATGAGAAATGGAAATGCTATACTTTCCATTTCACAGAGGATTATGGAAGCATAAAAAGGCTAAGTGACTTGCCCAACATCATGCTGGAAATTGGTGGTGGAGCACAGACCTGAGTCTAAATCTCCTACGTCATCACCTAGTGTCCTAACCATTAAGCCATCTTTCCCCATTAGGCTCATCATAACAGTGAGGTCTGCAGCCCACTAGAGAACATCTTGCTAGAGAGAGAGAATGGGAAAATTCAAACTCACTTAAGTGTAAGAAGCCATGATATGTTCAAAAGGAAATGGAAGCAATGCCACTCAAAGAGTGTGTTTGATGTGGTAGGAAAGCCTGCAGATAGGCTGATGTTCATTGGTAGGAAAGGCAAGAGGCTAAACTTCTTGCTGTTCTACATCTGCTGTACTGGAGTTTTAAGAGAGGGGAGAATGGATGCAAAAGCTGAATTGCGTAATAATGTGACACAAAATGGAGACCAAAAGATTCAATCTCTGCTCCTGTGTGAAGAGATAAGAAATAGCAGCTCCTCAGCCCCAACTTTTCAGTGACAGACATTTTAGACTCGAGGCATCCCTCAGAAAATGCCAGCTCTTGGCTTGCTTTATTAGCTTCTGTAGTTGAAAACTGAATGCAAGTCTTCTGTTGCACAGGACTCAGAAAGATACAGCAGGTCAAAATGTTTTTGACGCTGTGGTTTCCTATTTGAAAGCTCTGGGTTTATCTTGTGACTTGTGTAGGTGTTTGCACATGTAACAGTGCTAATATTTCGCAGTACCCTGTGGCACCATTAAAAGGATCTCGTGGCACGCTGGTTGAGAAGGACCACGCTACTCTCAGGTCTAATCATACACCTTTGCAAAATCCAATTTAAACCCATTTCTCTGGCTCAAATATTCTGAGAATTCCTCCCTCGCAGTTACTCAGCTACACTTTTGATCTTGCTTTAACTAACGGTCCCACGGTCCATGTACCAATGTGGAGCAGCCAGCTGCATGCCTCACTAGTGCAAAACCTGTCAATCCCTTCCCATTGGGATCAATAAATGTTAACAAACCAGCACTTCCAAACTTGCTATTCAGTTACAACAGGGGTGGGCAAAATACAGCCCACAGCCCTGCCCAGCCCAGGCACAAAGGGCACCCCAGTCCGTGGCACATGCAGCCACACTCCATTTTCTGGCAGAGGTGGTTCCCTCTGGCGGCCGCTGCCAGATCCAGCGCCACTGTCCATGCATCCGAGCCCATCTACCCTGGAACCACCTCCAGAGACGGGACCTGTGCAGGCCAGCAGAGAGTGGCGCCCAGGAGTGAGATGGGTAGGCAGAGCCGGGGAGACCTCAGGATGTTGGCACAGTGACAGTGCAGGGCTGATCTGCTTCTTGCACCCCCCTGCCAGCAGAACTTATGCCCGTTGCAGGAGCCTGCAGGCAGCGGATCGCAGCTCAGCCCTGGCCCAAGCCCCATGCTGTCACTGCCCTGTGATCCCAGCCCCAGCCATGGATGCAGCTCCTCACCCAGCCACATGCCTGCCCATGCAGCACCTATCTGGTCTCCATGGAGACTGGTCCCTGACCCCTGGACACAGCTCCCAGGCTCCAGACGCAGCACACAGCTGGTCAGGGAGCTGTGTCCAGGACCAGGATCTTGGGGCAGTGACAGCACCGGGCCGAGGCAGAGCTGCAATCTGCTCCCCGCCTGTCCCTGTTCCCTGTTGCAGGGGTGTGTGGGGAGCGGATCGTGGCTTTTCCCTGGCCCTGTGCTGTCTCTGCTCCACAATCCCAGATCTAGATGCAGATTGCCACTCAACTGCATCCCACTCATCCTCCACAGAGACTGGCTGGGAGCCTCATGGGGAGCTGTGCCCGTGCCCGGGGTCAGGATTGCGGAGAGGTGACAGCATGGGGCTGGGGCAGAGCCATAATCCGCTCCCTGCACACCCCTGCCTGCAAAACCTGCACCTATCGCGGGGGCGTGTGGGCTGCTGATCAAAGCTCGGCCCTAGCTAGTGCAGTCACCACCCCATGACCTTGCCCTGTGATCCCAGCCTCTCCTGCTTGTCCCATTCCTGAACGTCACTCCCTGCATGCCTGCAGTCTGCTCCCTGCATCCCACACAGGAAATTTTGGTGAGTTGTTGCATGGAGAGGAAGGGACAGGGAGGGGGTGCTGACCTTGCCCACAACAGCTCAACAATACTCCCTATCTGGGTCACAGGCCCAAATAATTGCCCATCCCTGAGTTACACTGTGCTTCTCTTGATGTTGGACATGTTAAGCTGGCAAGAAGTGTGTATTTCCATGAGCCTAATTACTCTAGGTGGTGTTTGGTTTTTTTCCTGTGATTTTTTTTTTTTTTCCAGATAAGTAATGCACACTTCATGCTGTCCTTTGTTGGTGGACATAAACCAAAAAATCTTAACTCTTTGGGAAGTCTCCCGTCAGATCTGAATCCTATTTTCTCATCTCAAGTCCATCTCTGCTTAAGTGAATGATTTGTTCATTTGAAATCTGTTTTTAAAGGAACGCTGTAAATTATTGCGATCCATGGTAAGAGAGTTATCCGCTGGCCTGAGAACAGTTGGAATGAGGCAGGCTGGAATTCCAGGCACATCAGAAAGGAGCAGTCAGAATAAAATGGTAAAATATATAGTACCTGCTGCAATAATGATATATGGATCCTTCAAGAGGGTCAGTAGCGGTGTTCCTTTCTGACTCTGTTGAAACAGATTAAAAAGATAAGGATTAGGAAAAGCAAATTACCACCTATTTCATAAAGTGTCTTATGATAGTACTTACTTCTGGTTGTGCTCTGGATGGCTGTAGAACAAATAACTGAATAGCTGTAAAACAAAAATCAATATTGTAGCTTTGGGTCAAGCTAGCTGGTGTACTATTACAATATAAAATGGGATCAGCATTAGGATTTACTAACCTCCATCTAACACAGCTAATGCTGCCAACACAAGAAAAGGTGCACTCCTTCCCACAAACTCATACATCACACTCCCAAAAGGTGGACCCACTATAGGAGAAAAAGCAAAACATTCATAATGTCACTTTCTAGGTTTCAAACAACTTTTGGGGGGCCTGACCCAGGTACCATGGACAGCCCAAGGCAAAACTCCTATCAGTCTTATTGGTCACAAGTTCAAAGAATGAAAGTTTTACTGCAATTTGAGTAAGTATTTTGGGGAGGGGGGCTCCAGGAGTGGGAGGGAGCGTATTGTTATTACCTGGCCTCCCAACCCTTACTCAAATAGAGACACAATAAGCATGGGCCAAATCCTGCCTTTTTAACTCACACAATCAGGGCCTTCAGTGTCATTCACATTGCTTGCCAAAGTTAGGAAAGAAGGATATCTGCCCTATACAAGCAAGTTGGCAATCTGACAAAGGATGGATGTAGTGCTCATGAGGATGGATATAGCATGGATATTACTAAGTTAAAGCTTCCTCACAGCCACTGACTTAAATTGGAAAGGGTTGGGGCCAAACCTTTAGGAGGCCTATTTTCATTTCTCAGATTTAAAAATGTTGTGGGTGAGAACATAGCCTCTAGTGCTTGTAAAATCCTTTGAAGTTAGAAGTACTGCCTTGTACCACCAAACACCAGTTATGAAACTGCAAAAGAACAATTATATTGCTGAATGTTAATCGACAGACTTCACCACACAGTTAGGAAGAGGGAAATATTGGTGCCAGAGGTTTGAAATTACTCTGAAAATCAGAAGGTTTGCCTGCTGTTAGCTTAATGTATAAGTGTAAAAAATATATTTTAACTTTGTTAAGACTATTTTAGTGTGCCCTGTTATTCTATTCTGGAGACAGGATGACAAAACTTAGTTGGACAGAAGGGAGCTATAATATGAAATCTTCTGCAGCTTACAAACCCCACAAAAGTGCATTTTGAGTCCATGAATATTACATTTTGCTTACCTAAAACTCCCATAGCAAGGCCTCCCAGTGCAATCCCCATTGCATTGCCTCTCTCTTCATCATCTGTATAAACACTGGCCAGCATGCCCATGCCTTAAATTAAACAAATGTCCAAAAAAATAGACAGTTATAATACAAGCCATTTTTACCCAAATCCAAGACGACTTTGAATCTAAGATGACCCTGTGCCCAAAATTAGATTCTAGACATGGAGAATTATAAATTTGTTATAATTGTCCATGACCAGAATTTAATTATTGGAGGGTCATCTTAAGTTTATGGCAGGCAAGTTGTAGCAGGGGGGCAAGCGGTGGGGAAATAAGAGTTGGGGACAGGCAGATGGGAAAGCTGAGGCAGGGGTGGGAGCAGGCAGGGGGAAAGAAAGTGTGGGAAGGAAGGCAAAGGGAAAGTAGGCAGCCTGTCTCCCACTGCTTGCCTCCCTGGTGCCTGTCTCCCCAACACTTCCCCACCCCTTGCCTCCCTGCCTTTCTCCCCCTTCCTTTGCTTTCCTCCACTGATCTGGGCACAGAAGGAGCCCCAGAGCTGCTCCTGCCCCGCCCTGCAAGGAGCAGCTATGCAGTGCAGGATTGGCTCTGGAACTCCCCTGTGCCTGCTGTAGTGAGTCAGACCACCCCAGCTAGAAGCTGTGAGGAGCTGTTTCCCAAGGAGCCCAGCTGACTGGAGACCACAGCAGCAGTGTACAGATTCCTCCTTCCCTGCCTGGCTCCCTGCGAGCAACAGGAGGGGTCAAGGCAGGGGGAACGGACAGGGACTGGAGTCGGGAGCAGACACTGGAAACAGGAATTCTCATGCTATTGATTTTGTCCCTGGCCTAGCTGGGCTCTCTGCATGGGTGCTTCTCCCAGCTCCCAGGTGTGATGCTTGATGCTAAGACAAGGCTTTGCTTTCCCCATGACGAAGGGGGGGGCACACCTCATCTTGGAATTGAGTAAATACAATAATGTATTTTCATCATACTTCAGCCCTACCGAATATTAGAGAAACATGACATATGGCTGTGGGTATCCCTTCCTGAGCCATCCTCTCCAGCTTCCTAGTCCCATCTCTTCTCCACCTCTGGCTCTTCATCCCAATCAATCTTCTTCCCCACCCAGCTATCCTCTCCACTATTAGGGTTCCTCATTCTTATCTCAGTCCCCTTGCTCAGACCTCCTGGTTTTCCACTTATCTCTCCCATATACTCTCTCTGATGCACAAACAATCCCTTTGCTCTGAATTCACGTGCATGGACCTGGGCTCTGAAAATCCCCATTCACTCAGATCTACAGTCCCAGGGGAAGTTCTATTGAACATACATGAAATGAGATTTTTTTTTTCTTCTTCTCAAAGGCTTACAAGTTGGCAAAATGTGGCATGTGAAAAGATTTCCATGGAGTTGGCAAAAGGTGCATCCCTGGCACAAAGGCTACTCTCTTCCCTGTTTCATACCCTTCCCTAACGTATGAGGGCTCCGAGCCTTTTTATGGAAAAGGTTCACAGATTTTTTTTTACACGGGAAAAACAGTGGGCTTTGTTTGTTTTTATCCCTTTCTTATTTACAGCCATGACTGAACAGTGCAGGCTCTAATTTCATTTTGCTACTGTCCCCTTCTGCACCCTTCTCCCTCCACCCCCCAAAAAAAAGGATAAAGAGAGAAGGCCTGAGACAAACACCCAGAATGAAGACTTTCTGGCCAAAATATAGGCGAAGTTACAAGCAACTGAAAGCAGTAATGGTAAATACCGGGCAGCTTCAGTAATAGTCAGGGCTGTCAGCCCCACCTACAATATAAGCGCAGACATCAGTTCTTGATGACCTTTTAAAACTGATAAAAATTAATATAAAAGACTAACAACACTTGTGCACAAGTCCCAGGGAGAGAGTAGCTCTTACTATTTTCTGCATAAGCACAAGGCAAATAGTGAGGAATGGTGAAGTGAAATTTGCTTTTCAGATACTTAAATGAAAGAAGCCAGCTGAAAGTAAAATGAATTTAATTGAATTATTCTACATAAATTATTCAAGCTGCGGACAAAATAGGAAAATCAAGGCAATTACTGTTGTTAAAAGGGGCAGGATACAATGCAGGCCATTGAGTCCATCATACAGATTTTCATACTTACCAGCCACAGAAGAACAAGAGGATCCCACTCCTTGGAGAGATCTTGCTATGAACAGTAATGTGTAGCTTCCTGAGAAGGCAAACACTGCACAAAAGGCAGAGGTGGATTTTTTTTTAATCAAGTTAAATCTAACTGGGTTAAAATGTTAGCTATTTTAACTATTGCAAAAACTCCATTCAATTTAGCCAGGCATTTACTGCAACTCTTGTGTCACTTTCAATGCTAACAGCATTATTTTCTTTTATTGCATTTAGATTTGTCAGTGCTGAATTGTTTCTCTGTGTCTAAGCCTCCTGGTAACACAGGGTACCAAAAAAGCCATCCTTACTCATTCCTAAGAGTTAGATTATATCCTGGTCTCATGCAGCTTCACAGTGAAGGTTTAACAAGGTTCCTGCCTTTTCCCTGTCCTTCTGAACTGCTGCATTAGTGCTGCCTAGTTCACAGCTCCCGGCACTTGGGGATAAGCAGGGGCTGCACATCACATGCACCCTTCCCTCCCACAGGCAATGGCTCCAGTCAGCTTCCCATGCAAAACAGGCCAGTGGAGTCAAATCCACAAGGGACTGGAAAAGGAGAGGGAGGAGGGTTTCTCAGAAGAAAAAGGTGAGCATCCTTCAATCTCCCTGATGTCCCACCACCCAAAACGACCCTTGCACCTATCGTCAACCCATAACAGGCACCCTGAATATAAGATCCTCATCCTGCTGGGGTATCTGAACATTATTTGAACTCAACCACACCAAAAATGAACACTTACTAATGGTTGACACAAACATGATGCAAAAGCCAGCAAACATTGGGATCTGGTAACCTATTCTGGAAAACAAAATGAACACACAGATTTTTAGGAGCAGAACTTACTTTTTCCTGTACAGGATAAATCAGTTTTAGTCAGAAACATTCCTTCCTCAAGGCAAGGGGCGGTTGCCTTTTTAAAAACAAATTAAGAAATCAGCAGAAAACTTGGTTGCTTTCAGGGTTTTGGACCTGAATAAATTGTTGCCTAAGATCCAAATCTTCCCACTCAGTAGAACAGATTCTGTGTCAGAAATCCCAAGGGAGTTCTTCATTTCAGAGTTCGGTTGATCGAATTCTGCCATAGTTGCACCCGCTACAGTGTACTTGGGCTTTAGTGGGGTTGGATGGGATGGAGCTATCACAACTTGTCTGAGGATATTGAACTATG